AGAGATGGTTATGAGCTGCCATATGGGTGCTGGAAACTGAATTCGGGCCCTCTGCAAGAGCAGCCAGTGCTGAGCCCCAAAGCTGTGTGGTTTGTAGGAGTGAATAACTGAAGGTTTTAACTGAGAGACCACATCTTTTTGTTTTTAGTCTTTTTGTGGTACTGGGGATTATGTCAGTGTCTTATGCATGTCAGGCGAACATTCTACCACAGAGCTATAGCCCCATCCTCAGAGACCGCATCTTACACTTTTTTCTTTTTTTTGTTTGTCTTTTTGAGACTGGCCTGGAACTCAGAGAGAACTGTCGTCCTCTGCCTCCCAAGTGCTGGGATTAAAGGTGTGCACCACCATGCCTGGCTCAAGTTTTATCTACACTTGTTATTACAAAAGATTTCAGTAATATTTTATTCCCCCAAGCCTTTAAAAAATTTAATGGATGTGCTTACTCATTAATTTATCAAAGAGCTGGTGAGCATATCTCAAGAGGATGCAGAGGGTGCAGGGCATAGCATCAGAGTCAGAGAATTTGAGTTTGAGCCCCTGCTCAAAAAACTAATTTTTAAGTCATGTGGCCTTTGGTTAGTTACCAAGTTTTGTAATCCATAGTCTCCCAATACACAGAGCAGATGTTTTTGCATTATTTAGGGGGGGAGAGCCCATGCCATTTTGCCCATGTGGAAATCAGAGGGCACTTGAGTCAGTTCTCTCCTTCTACACTGTGAGTTCTGGTAATTCAATCTAGGCCATCAGGCTTGGTGGCAAGTGCCTTTACCCACTGAGCCCTTGGCCCTCAATAGAGCAGATTTAAAAGCTGAAATCGCTTGCAGTATTTACAAGAACTAAATGATGCAATGCATTTAAAGCATGTAGCCCCTGCTTGATATGCAGATTGATATGCAAAACCTACAGGTATTTGTGTTTTTTTTTTAATTCTTTATTTTCTGTCTGTTGAACTTGTTTTCTTCAAGTACAGCTATTTCCCCTCTTCATTTCTCCACTGCTTTGTCCCCAAGTCTATCTTTAAGAAAGTAAAGAAAACTCTTTGCCAATAAGTCATCTCTTAAACCTTTGTAACTTTCTTAAATGAAGGATGCAGAACTGGATAGATGGCTCAGCAGTTAAGCACACTGGCTGCTCTCGCAGAGGACCCAGGTTTGATTTCCAGCACCCACATGGCAGCTAACAACCATCTGTAACTTCAGTTCGAGGGGATGACGTCCTCTTCTGACCTCTCTGGGCATTGAATACATATGGTGCACTTACATACATTCAAGCAATACACTCATACACATAAAAATAAATGAATGAATAAATAAAACACTTTAAATGAGGGATCAACTTCTTGGTTTTCTCTTGAATGAGTGCTCATGATAAAACTGATCAGAACAGGTAGCTTTTTCTCATCAAAGACTACCTCCATGTACTCTCAGAGTATCTTACTTTGCTCCCAAGTGCCTCTTTTTCTTTTTTGTTGTTAAAGTCTATATTAAAATCTCTTTTAATAAACTCCAACTCTGCTTTCAAAAAATAATAGTCCACTACAAAGCATCTTACAAGGCCCAAACCCAGAAACTTCACAGAGCAAGAGGATTTCCTAAGAGGCTGGAGAGATGGCTCAGCGGTTAAGACTACCGACTACTCTTGCAGAGGACCTGGGTTCAATTCCCAGCACCCAAATGGCAGTTACAAACCGTCCTTAACTCCAGTTCCAGGGGAATCTGAAGCCCTCTTCCGATCTCCGTGTCATTGCATGACATGGGTGGATTCATATACATGCAGGCAATATACTCATACACATAAAATAAAAATAATAAAT